CAGCATTTCTGGTGGCGACTGTTGGCTTTGGTGCTTCTAGCAGCTGAAATATGCATTTACTGGGTGCGCGTATTTCTAGATTGCTCCGGGGCTAATTGTTTGTTCACCAGTTTTTCAAACGAGACAGTGAGGGGGCATTTCATTTGATTTTAACGAACAGGAACGGAGCAAGTATGGGGAAACCTTGACAAAGACTAAGCACTATCGACGCAAAGATGCCAACACAGAACATCACGCAAGAAGGATTTTCTCAACATGTGTACTATCCAACGCCTTCGTCTCTGCTTCACTTCTTGGTCCACTGTAACTTGTTTAGTTTTCTCCCAAAGCTCAACGCTGATGATTCTACCATGCCATTTAATCCCATCTATTCTGCCAACGCAACCGGTTAATGAATGTTTATAGTTTATTAGGAATTGCCTTAGTTCTCCATGTAAAAGTACTGATTTCATTTAACAATTAAAAATTGTCAGTTTAGTATTAGTTTTAATTTCGTTTGACCTCCACAAAATTCCTAGTGCTGTGAAAGCTTCTGTAGCCTTTTGTATTCTTATTGTAATATCTCTATCAGTTCCTCCAGCTTATCTACATTAACACTCAAACAGGTGTACGACTCCACGTCTTGGAGTAGGGTACCATCAAGAGAAACCACATTCCTATTTGCCTGATTTTTTTTCATTATGTTGGTCTTTTCCTTGTGCATTTTCAGACTTAGCTGCTGTGATCTCATATCAAGAGTATTTAATTCATTTTGCGTCTGATTCCGTGAATGAGACAGAAGAGAAATATTATCAGCGAAATCCAGATCATCAAACCGTTTTGTAGGGGTCAGTGAATACCATTCCTGGTGTTAGCAGTTGCTGTCGTCCTAATGCAGTCTATAGCCAGTAAAAACAGAAGAGGCGACAAAAGATCCCTGCCGCACACCCGTTTTTAATTTGCAAATGTATCTGTTAGCATTTGCTCGTGAAGAACTCGACATTTCATGTGTCTCCAAATGTTGCCTTCACTAAGTTAATAATTTTCTCACAAAATATACAACATGCTAAACGCAGGAGCGAGTTTGCATCAGCCCATCAAATACCATTTCCGCTGCGATACCCGAGCGAGCACAGATGGCTTGAGAATGATCTGATATGCAGATGAGGCAACGAGAAGACTGGATCTTCATGTTGCTGGCATGTTTGTGCTACGAGAGGTGACATCTGTTCGTTAAACTAATGGTGGCTTCATTCTAGGAGAAAAAAACTTGTTCAACGAATTATTCCTAGCTAACAGAGAAATGACACGCACAAATGGATAGACCCCGACATTTTCTCTAAGAAATGATTTAGAAACAATATAGACATGATGTAGAAACGATAGTTATTGAAATAGAAAAGTGATATAGAAGCGACAGAGAAGTGACACACAAACAATAGAAAGCTTGTATGCGAACGATAGAGAAGTAATATACGAATGATATAAAAATTATTTACGAACGATAGAGAAGTGATATACGAACGACAGAGAAGTGATATACGAACGATAGAGAAGTGATATACGAACGATGAAGAAGTGATATATGAAGGATAGAGAAGTGATATATAAACGACAGAAAAGTGATATAGAAACAGCAGAGAAGTGAAATTTAAACGACAGAGAAGTGCTATAGAAACAGCAGAGAAGTGATATTTAAACGACAGAGAAGTGATATATGAACGATAGAGAAGTGATGTTTGAATGATAGAAAAGTGATATATGAATGACATAGAGGTGATATATAAATAAGCAGAGAAGTGATATATAAACCACAGAGAAATGATATATAAACAGCAGAGAAGTGATATATAAACCACAAAGAAGTGATAAATGAACAGCAGAGAAGTGATATATAAATGACAGAGAAGTGATATATAAGCGACAGAGAAGTGATATACGAACGACAGAGAAGTGATATACGAACGACAGAGAAGTGATATACGAACGACAGAGAAGAAGTGATATATAAAAGACAGAGAAGTAATATATAAACGACAGAGAAGTGATATATAAATGACAGAGAAGTGATATATAAACGACAGAGAAGTGCTATACGAACGACAGAGAAGAAGTGATATATAAACGTTAGAGAAGTGATATATAAACGACAGAGAAAAGGTGATATATAAAAGACAGAGAAGTAATATATAAACGACAGAGAAGTGATAAATAAACAGCAGAGAAGTTATTTATAAATGACAGAGAAGTGATATATAAACGACAGAGAAGTGATATACGAACGAAAGAAAAGAAGTGATATACGAACAATAGTGAAGTGATATACGAACGACAGAGAAGTGATATACAAACGATGAAGAAGTGATATATGCAGGATAGAGAAGTGATGTATGAATGATAGAAAAGTGATTTATGAACGACATAGAAGTGATATATAAACAGCAGAGAAGTGATAAATGAAGGACAGAGAAGTGACATATAAACAGCAGAGAAGCTATATATGAACGACAGAAAAGTGATATATGAATGATGGAGAAGTGATGTATGAATGATAGAAAAGGTATTTATGAACGATATAGAACAAACAACAGAGACGTGATATACTAACGATAAAGAAGTGATATATGAACAGCAGAGAAGTGATATACGAACGATAAATGATAGGTATACAAACGATAGAGAAGTGATATACGAACGATAAAGTGATATACGAACGATAAAGTGATATACGAAGGATGAGAAGTTATATATGAACGACACAGAAATGATATATGAACGTCAGAGAAGTGATATACAAACGGTAGAGAAGTAACATACGAACGATACAGAAGTGATATGTGAGCGACAGAGAAGTAATATAAGAATGACAGAGAAGTGATAAATTAACGACAGAAAAGTGATATATGAACGACAGAGAAGTGATATATGAACGATGGAGAAGTGATATATGAATAATAGAAAAGCGATATATGAACGATATAGAACAAAAAACAGAGAAGCGATATACTAACAATAAAGAAGTGATATATAAACAGCAGAGAAGTGATATACGAACGATAAAGTGATATACGAACGATAAAGTAATATCAAACCATAAATAATAGGTATACAAACGATAGAGAAGTGATATACGAACGATAAAGTGTTATACGAACGACAGAGAGGTTATGAACGACACAGAAATGATATATGAACGACAGAGAAGTTATATACGAACGGTAGAGAAGTAACATACGAACGATACAGAAATGATATAAGAATGACAGAGAAGTCATAGGTGAACGATACAGAAGTGATATACGAACGATAAAGAACTGATATAAGAAGGAAAGAAAAGAAGTGATATACGAACAATAGTAAAGTGATATACGAACAACAGAGAAGTATTATATGAACGATAGAGAAGGAATATAAGAACGACAGAGAATTGATATATGAACGACAGAGAAGTGATATATAGACAGCAGAGAAGTGATATATAGACAGAAGAGAAGTGATATATGAACAATAGAGACGTGACATACGAACGGTAGAGAAGAAGTTATATACAAACGATAGAGAAGTTATAAAAGAACGACAGAGAGTAAGTGATATACAAACGACAGAGAAGTGATATACAAACGACAGAGCAGTGGTATACAAATGACAGAGCAGTGATACATGAACGACAGATAAGTGTTTTACAAACAATAAAGAAGAAGTGATATGCTAACGATAGAGAAGTTATTTAAGAACGATAGAGAAATAATCTAGAATCAGCAGAGAAGAGATACAGAAACGATTGACTAGTGATACAGATAAAATTAGTGAGTTGCGTCACCTTTACAGGACGTTGCAGAACCAACCCCAGCATATTTTTGGCTGCTGTGGTTTGTCTAGGCGAATATTTTCAGAAGTTTGCCACTGCCACTGAACGGTGGACTATAGATACAACTGTTGAAATCAAACGCAAGATGGTCTGCTGCCAAATCGCCTGCAGCTGGAATCGAACCCAGCACCCCAGCATTGAGAATCGCTTTCTTAACATTTAAGCCACTGAAGAGCTGCAAGAATGATACAAAAACAATAGAGAAATGATATAGAAACAATAGAGAGATGATATATAAAGAATGGAGAGGTGATACAGAAACAATAGAGAGATGATACATAAAGAATGGAGAAGTGATACATAAAGAATAGAGAGATGATACATGAAGAATGGAGAGGTGATACAGAAACAATAGAGAGGTGATATAGAAACAAAAGAGAGGTGATACAGAAACAATAGAGAGCTGATACATAAAGAATGGAGAGGTGATACAGAAACAATAGAGAGATGATACATAAAGAATGGAGAGGTGATACAGAAACAATAGAGAGATGATACATGAAGAATGGAGAGGTGATACAGAAACAATAGAGAGGGGATACATAAAAAATAGAGAGATGATTAATAAAGAATGGAGAGGTGATACAGAAACAATAGAGAGATTATACATAAAGAATGGAGAGGTGATACAGAAACAATAGAGAGATGATACATAAAGAATGGAGAGGTGATACATAAAGAATAAAGAGATGATACATAAAGAATGGAGAGGTGATAGAGAAACGATAGAGAGTTGATACATGTAGAATTGAGAGCTGATACAGAAACAATAGAGAGGTGATACAGAAACAATAGAGAGGTGATACAGAAACAAAAGAAAGGTGATACAGAAACAATAGAGAGGTGATACAGAAACAAAAGAGAGGTGTTACAGAAACAAGAGAGGTGATACAGAAAAAACGAAGAGAGGTGATACAGAAAACAATAGAGAGGTGATACAGAAACAAAAGAGAGGTGTTACAAAAACAAGGGAGGTGATACAGAAAAAACGAAGAGAGGTGATACAGAAACAATAGAGAGGTGATACAGAAACAAAAGAGAGGTGATACAGAAACAAGAGAGGTGATAAATAAACAATAGAGAGGTGATACAGAAACAATAGAGAGGTGATACAGAAACAAAAAAGAGAGGTGTTACAGAAACAAGAGAGGTGTTACAGAAACAAGAGAGGTGATACAGAAACAGGAGAGGTGATACAGAAAAAAACATACATATGAAACATAAACAAAAGCGGGCTGATACACAAGTGATAAATAAACATTAAAGAGCTGATACACAAGTGATAAATAAACATTAAAGAGCTGATACACAAGTGATAAATAAACATTAAAGAGCTGATACACAAGTGATAAATAAACATTAAAGAGCTGATACACAAGTGATAAATAAACATTAAAGAGCTGATACACAAGTGATAAATAAACATTAAAGAGCTGATACACAAGTGATAAATAAACATTAAAGAGCTGATACACAAGTGATAAATAAACATTAAAGAGCTGATACACAAGTGATAAATAAACATTAAAGAGCTGATACACAAGTGATAAATAAACATTAAAGAGCTGATACACAAGTGATAAATAAACATTAAAGAGCTGATACACAAGTGATAAATAAACATTAAAGAGCTGATACACAAGTGATAAATAAACATTAAAGAGCTGATACACAAGTGATAAATAAACATTAAAGAGCTGATACACAAGTGATAAATAAACATTAAAGAGCTGATACACAAGTGATAAATAAACATTAAAGAGCTGATACACAAGTGATACATACTCTATAGAGAGCTGGTACAGATACAATAGCAAGCCGATACAAAAACAATAGAGGGAGGTGTTACATAAACAATAGAGAGAGACGATACATAAACAATAGAGGGAGACGATACAAAAACAATAGAGGGAGACGATACATAAACAATAGAGGGAGACGATACATAAACAATAGAGAGAGACGATACATAAACAATAGAGGGAGACGATACATAAACAATAGAGGGAGACGATACATAAACAATAGAGAGAGACGATACAAAAACAATAGAGGGAGGTGTTACATAAACAATAGAGAGAGACGATACAAAAACAATAGAGGGAGGTGTTACATAAACAATAGAGGGAGACGATACATAAACAATAGAGGGAGACGATACATAAACAATAGAGAGAGACGATACAAAAACAATAGAGGGAGGTGTTACATAAACAATAGAGAGAGACGATACAAAAACAATAGAGGGAGGTGTTACATAAACAATAGAGAGAGACGATACAAAAACAATAGAGGGAGGTGTTACATAAACAATAGAGAGAGACGATACAAAAACAATAGAGGGAGGTGTTACATAAACAATAGAGAGAGACGATACAAAAACAATAGAGGGAGGTGTTACATAAACAATAGAGAGAGACGATACAAAAACAATAGAGGGAGGTGTTACATAAACAATAGAGAGAGACGATACAAAAACAATAGAGGGAGGTGTTACATAAACAATAGAGAGAGACGATACAAAAACAATAGAGGGAGGTGTTACATAAACAATAGAGAGAGAGACGATACAAAAACAATAGAGGGAGGTGTTACATAAACAATAGAGAGAGACGATACAAAAACAATAGAGGGAGGTGTTACATAAACAATAGAGAGAGACGATATAAAAACAATAGAGGGAGGTGTTACATAAACAATAGAGAGAGACGATACAAAAACAATAGAGGGAGGTGTTACATAAACAATAGAGAGAGACGATACAAAAACAATAGAGGGAGGTGTTACATAAACAATAGAGAGAGACGATACAAAAACAATAGAGGGAGGTGTTACATAAACAATAGAGAGAGACGATACAAAAACAATAGAGGGAGGTGTTACATAAACAATAGAGAGAGACGATACAAAAACAATAGAGGGAGTTGTTACATAAACAATAGAGAGAGACGATACATAAGTGATAAAGAAACGACAAGGAAGTTATATATAAAAGAAACATTTGTGATACAGAAAGGAGGAAGAACATGAATAGAAACGATAGGGAAGTCATATTAGAGACGACACAGGAGTCACAGAGAAGTTAAAAAAAAGAAAGACAGGAAAGTTTACAGATAAATGATACAGAAATAACAGAGAAGACGGAGAACTAGTAGAGAAATTACGGAAAAGTGACAGAGTAACAGCGAAGTAATAGATATAGAAGTGAGAAAAGTAATAGAACAGTCTAGTCATACAGATTATATATTAAAGCGACAGAGGGAGAGAGAGAGAGAGAGAGAGAGAGAGAGAGAGAGAGAGAGAGAGAGAGAAGAGAGAAAGAGAGAGAGAGAGAGAGAGAGAGAGAGAGAGAGAGAGAGAGAGAGAGAGAGAGAGGATACATAAGTGAAATAGGAATCATAGGTACCAGGTAGACATGATAAAAAGTAAATAGTTATGAAAAAACAGAGTGATAGTAAAGCAACAGAAGTCACAGAAGTGATAGATTAGCAATAATTAAGCTTTAGAGAATGCGACTAGTCAAATAAAGAAGAAACTAGAGTTCAGGGCGACAGGAAATTGTTGCTGCTAGTCTAAACGGGCAGACGAATAAGCGCTTTAGCTCTGGGAAAATATTACCCTTTTATTCCATCATCCCCCTTCTCGATTAGGACTAGCATTGGATCAATACTTCTTCACCATCATTCATATGATACTTAGTATCTCCCGCCCCTCCCCCGCTCCTCACCCTTTTCAACGAACCCCGATCCTACTTTGGCGACGTTTGTTATGACTTGAAGAGAATGTGATCTTTTCGGAGCTCTCCTGCGTCTGCAGACAGTATCCAAGGACGCCTTCGGGGCAATCTGTCACATTCATCTCAGTTAATGAAGGCCCAAGGTACACAATAGCCTATTGTCTTCCAGAGGAGTTCTCTTGAAATCGAACTCGCTGAACTTGAAGAACACAAGATGAGGTGTAGTTACACTGGAGCAAAACTGTGTCGTAGCCGGGGTGACAACATTAATAAAGATTTGGCTTTAGCTAAAGGGAAATCCTGGCATGTTTACACAATGCTTGCAGTCTTTGATAGGTTCATGTCACGGAAAGCATGGAAAAGGTGTTGTTGATAATGCTGATTATTACTATCTGCTACAAGGGTGTGTGAATACAATAACGTGAGCACACAGTCAAGAGAGAAGGGAAAATGCAAGGTGGGCCTGTGTGACCAATTCTTCTCTCTCTATTTTCTTTCTCTGGGGAGCCTCCGTGGCGAAGTGGTCAAGCCGTGTGCCTTGCGCTCTGAATGCTGTGGGTTCGTTTCACGGGGGCGCTGTTCAGTTCATGAGTGCAATTTTTACGGACATCCCCGGAGATCGTCACCGGTGCTACAGATGTCGTGCTCTGTGCGACGCTCTCGGCAGGCAGCGAGCTGTTCTGAGGAGAGAGAGATTGAGCCGTATGGGATAAACACCTGGCGCAATAAAGTGGATCCTCTTACGTTTACTTTTTTTTCTGCGTAATGCCCTTTGTCTTTCTCTGCGTGAGGCTGTTAATGAGTAATGCTGTTAATGCGTAAGGCTGTTAATGCGTGTTGTTAATACGTCAGGCTTTAAATGCGTAAGGCTGTTAATGAGTAATGCTGTTAATGCGTAATGCTGTTAATGCGTGTTGTTAATACGCCAGGCTGTTCATGCGTAAGACTGTCAATGCGTAAAGCTGTTAATGCGTGTTGTTAATACGTCAGGCTGTTCATGCGTACGGCTGTTAATGAGTAATGCTGTTAATGCGTGTTGTTAATACGTCAGGCTGTTCATACGTAAGACTGTCAATGCGTAATGCTGTTATTGGGTAATGCTGTGTAATGCAAGCTAAGCTGTTAATGCGTTTCCATGAGAATATGCGCTAGTTAGCTTGTTTTACGGTAATATTGTTGATTTTCAGCAAGTTGTTAACTCCATCTATCCGTGCCCTTCTTCGCCTTCATCTGCCTCCATGTTGTATGCTCTTGCAACCGGTGATGTTGGGTTTATTCTGGCCAGGCCACGAAACCCATTTCAGTCTTTGAAAATAAAGTTCGTTCGTTCGTTCGTTCTCACTGTATGTCTATATGTATGTCTCAGTTTATTTCTTCTTCTTTTTTTTTTCTCTTCTTTTTTTTTTCTTCTTTAGGCAAATTTTGGAGTTAAAACTCAACCCGAAGTATTTCAGGATCCTCACCGGTGCTACAGAGTTCGTGCGCTGCTCTGAGATTCTTCGGACTTAAGCTAGAGTCAGAAGTAGAAGAGAGCACTCATAGGTAACTATCCTTGTGCAGTGATGTTAATCCCTTGTCTAAATCTAATCTTCTTCATTCACCGGCTGCACGCTCCGACTGAAAGTCCTGGTTGTTTGTCCATTTGGACTTTGGCCTTCTGCCAGGGCCTGACTTTTTGAGTGTATCATTGTTGTACTGACTTATTTGTGTGCAGTTAGTTTTTCCTCGCCTCTCGGGCAGATATACTCCGACTTTGAAGGAAGCCCTCAATTAGCCGACTCTTACGACATGCTTGTAGGGGAGGCAGTTGGTCTTCCCCTCCCCTCCCCCAATGGGGCCCCGGAATCCACACGGGAAAGTCTATTTCTATATTTAAATATCTTTTATATATGCTTTTCTATATCTGAAGTTCTCATCCTAAACCTATCTTCTTCACTCTAAATACTCATTATCTTCCCCCCCCCCCCCCCCCCCACTTCTCCATCAATGTTTCTACTAATATATGCTGTTATCCATTTATCGATACACTTTGTCAACCATCCAAGACCCACACACTAATCCAAACCCATTTTGCCCTCTTGCGGATAAATGATTAAATGAACGTTTAATGTCGTACATGATCAAACAATAAAATATATACATCTATATTTTCACAGCCTCTGACAACGTCATTGACACGATTACCCTTTCATACGAAAAAGCTAAAACTTAGCCTGTCATGACCCTGTGGAGATTCACGAAACAAAATTCTTTAAAGATACTTTGATTCAGATCTCTTTATATATATATATATATATATATATATATATATATATATATATATATATATATATATATATATATATATATATATATATATATATAATGCATGCACACACACACAGACACACAAACATATATATATATATATATATATATATATATATATATATATATATATATATATATATATATATATATATATATATATGTGTGTGTGTGTGTGTGTGCATGCATTTTTTGGCTATCATCCGCATAAAGGGCACAAAAGACGGCGGCCAATGACGGCCAAAAACAGGGCCTCAGTCACGTGTCAACTGCGCACTTCCAGCGACCTAATTTGCGATTTTCAGGCGACTACCGCCACCGCCGAGAGTATCCCACACGCCGCTTACGCAGCGTGGATTGAGGCTAAACTAGATGGCTAGGACTCACGAACAAAGCTGCAGGGGATGCGGAAGCTGCTGCTCGTGAGTCCCATCCATCTAGTTTAGCCCCAATCAGTGCCGCGTGTGACTGAGGCTCTGTTAGGGTGTTTTGTGCCCCGTTATTCGGAGGATAGC